TTGAAAATTTAGGTTGGTCTCTCTAATATATTTCTATTCCAGCAATAAAATTGCCAAAAAGATGAAAATTTTAGCCTAAAACGACGATTTTAGTTTTCTGAAACTATAAGTTTGAGGGCTCAAACTAACACCTTCTAGAAGTTTTTTGAGTTCAAAAATTTGTTAGTGCATTAAGGATTCTTATTATCTTTCAATATTTCACAAAAATTTTACTCGGGAAGCAAGATTTTTGGTTCTGAAACCAAAAACACCAATTCTGAAACGTACGTTTCAGCCTTAGGAACCAAAATTTAAAATTGGTTTGGTGGGTTTTAACACCGTTAGTTTTCTCTAGAAAGTCAAAATTTGGCGTTCGGAGCTCAATTTTGAGACCAAAACTCAATTTTTGTGTTCTGAAACCTGAAACTAACAAAAACGTACCATTTAAGACCAGGTTTTTGACTTATGGTATCCAAATTTGGGTTTGACTAGTTCAACTTTTGCTGTTTTACCCGAATCCGTTTACAGAAACTTAAAATTTTGACCGGAAACTATACTTATTTTAACTAAAACGTTTGACCCTATAACTGAAACCTAGACTGAAACCAAAAATTTTGGCTGGTAAAAATCAATTTTTTGAAGCTTAGGCTATCATATGAAAACTAGTTTATCAATTTAAAGTGGATGTGTCAGTGTTTTAGACTTAGTTTTTGTTGTGAAACCTGATATTTTTGTGCTGAAACTAATACTTGGTGTTTGGTGTTATGTGGTTAACGTTTAAGATTGGTTTTAGTGCGTAATCTTATTGTTTATTAGGTGTATATTTAAACTGTGTTAAAAAAACTAATAATTTATTAAAAAACACCCAAATCCGTTCCTTCCTTCGTGGTTTTCGTTATTTTCTTCCTTAGTTTCAGTAATTGGTAGTTTTACTGATGGTAGATTTAGGTTTAAGTTATGTTAAGTTGAATAGAATTAAAATTAGTTTAAGAAAAAATGAGGATAAGCCTCGAGAAATGATGAAGGATTAGAATAAATAGCAACAAGCGTGGATGGTTTGAGATAATGTGATGAAGAATTCAATTTATCATACAATTTAGGGTACTCTTAGATCGCACATATGACCACTTAATCCCCTCGAAAAAATTATTGAAAATATTTAATAAATTTTTGAGCACTTTAGTTTTATACAGAATATCGTTAATTTTAGTGATGATAACTTTAAACTGAAGTTTCGGCAAAAGTTTAGTGAATTACTGGACAAAACGGGTATATCTTACTAGCGGACTTAGGCAGAGAACGATTCTTTCAGAAATTTTATATAATATTATAATAATAGATAATAGTTAGGTTCATGAGCTAATGTCAGTTAGAAAGCCGTCTAATAGACCTCGATACGGAGGAATATCGTGGGCGACTGCTAGCGCAGGGGATGTTTTCGCAAGAACCCTACTAGGAATATCTGTCAAGTAGAAGACAATGAAATTGTGTTTCTATCGAAAGATACCCATTGTCTCTGGCTTTTTGAGGTTGGAAACTAATCTGACAAATACTCACAGATCCTAGTAATAATATATTTTTTGAATTTTAAAAGCTGTTTCTAGTTTGTTGGAAAAGGAATTTCTTAAGGAGTAGTTCTCTGCTGCGGTCGCACCAGTTTTACTAAGCGATCATTGCTGGTTGAATGCTTAGTAATTTTATCCTAAATTATAAGTCTCACCTTAGATCGTCAAATTGTCTTGACAAAAAGTAGAGTAGAAACAATAGTTAGAAAAGGTATGAATTAATTAGTTGGTTAGATACAAAGCGCTGGGTTATTAGATTATATAAATGAATCGAACAGCTTAAAGAAATATACCTATGAGGGGAGGTTGGGCTAATCTTATTTTGTTCATCAAAATTTTATCTTCTTACTAAGTCGGTGGCTGATTAGTATGTATGGTTGCCCTTGATTTTGAGACCAAAACTCAATTTTTGTGTTCTGAAACCTGAAACTAACAAAAACTTACCATTTAAGACCAGGTTTTTGACTTATGGTATCCAAATTTGGGTTTGACTAGTTCAACTTTTGCTGTTTTACCCGAATCCGTTTACAGAAACTTAAAATTTTGACCGGAAACTATACTTATTTTAACTAAAACGTTTGACCCTATAACTGAAACCTAGACTGAAACCAAAAATTTTGGCTGGTAAAAATCAATTTTTTGAAGCTTAGGCTATCATATGAAAACTAGTTTATCAATATAAAGTGGATGTGTCAGTGTTTTAGACTTAGTTTTTGTTGTGAAACCTGATATTTTTGTGCTGAAACTAATACTTGGTGTTTGGTGTTATGTGGTTAACGTTTAAGATTGCTTTTAGTGCGTAATCTTATTGTTTATTAGGTGTATATTTAAACTGTGTTAAAAAAACTAATAATTTATTAAAATACACCCAAATCCGTTCCTTCCTTCGTGGTTTTCGTTATTTTCTTCCTTAGTTTCAGTAATTGGTAGTTTTACTGATGGTAGATTTAGGTTTAAGTTATGTTAAGTTGAATAGAATTAAAATTAGTTTAAGAAAAAATGAGGATAAGCCTCGAGAAATGATGAAGGATTAGAATAAATAGCAACAAGCGTGGATGGTTTGAGATAATGTGATGAAGAATTCAATTTATCATACAATTTAGGGTACTCTTAGATCGCACATATGACCACTTAATCCCCTCGAAAAAATTATTGAAAATATTTAATAAATTTTTGAGCACTTTAGTTTTATACAGAATATCGTTAATTTTAGTGATGATAACTTTAAACTGAAGTTTCGGCAAAAGTTTAGTGAATTACTGGACAAAACGGGTATATCTTACTAGCGGACTTAGGCAGAGAACGATTCTTTCAGAAATTTTATATAATATTATAATAATAGATAATAGTTAGGTTCATGAGCTAATGTCAGTTAGAAAGCCGTCTAATAGACCTCGATACGGAGGAATATCGTGGGCGACTGCTAGCGCAGGGGATGTTTTCGCAAGAACCCTACTAGGAATATCTGTCAAGTAGAAGACAATGAAATTGTGTTTCTATCGAAAGATACCCATTGTCTCTGGCTTTTTGAGGTTGGAAACTAATCTGACAAATACTCACAGATCCTAGTAATAATATATTTTTTGAATTTTAAAAGCTGTTTCTAGTTTGTTGGAAAAGGAATTTCTTAAGGAGTAGTTCTCTGCTGCGGTCGCACCAGTTTTACTAAGCGATCATTGCTGGTTGAATGCTTAGTAATTTTATCCTAAATTATAAGTCTCACCTTAGATCGTCAAATTGTCTTGACAAAAAGTAGAGTAGAAACAATAGTTAGAAAAGGTATGAATTAATTAGTTGGTTAGATACAAAGCGCTGGGTTATTAGATTATATAAATGAATCGAACAGCTTAAAGAAATATACCTATGAGGGGAGGTTGGGCTAATCTTATTTTGTTCATCAAAATTTTATCTTCTTACTAAGTCGGTGGCTGATTAGTATGTATGGTTGCCCTTGATTTTGTCCAAGTCAGCACTTCTGGTTGGGTCGTCTGAATCGTCTTGCCGTAGTCCTTTGGGTACTTGTAGTCCAGACTTCCTCGGGTGTGCGTATCTCGAGTATCTCAATTTATAATTTTTCAAACTTAAAAATGAGAATTTATTCTCTTTTTATAAGTGAAAAGGGCTAGATTAATTTTAGTGTTAGGGCAGAAAAGAAAAATTATTTATTTTTTAAAAGATCTGACTGAAGAGAACTGACTTGCTGCTTACTGAGAAAAATGAAACACTGAAGATTTCAGGCCAGTCCTTTTGCTCGTAAGAATAAACCGGCGGCTGATTCAATCTTTAATTATTCAGGTTTCACCTGCTCCTTTGTTCTCCCTTTCTAATAAGGGAATTTTCAACTAGTTTTTATTTGATTTTTCCAAATCAAATATCTTTAACTTATTAGTCCCCTTTGATAAAAACCGCAGCCTTCAGTTTGTCTTATTAAAAATTCATATTACTCTCTCTGATGCATCATATTGCAGGTGCACCTCTGCTTAATCAAAGCAAGGAGAATTTCAGTGCAGCCGGCAAGACTGCTCAATATTTATCCAGTTTGTTTCAAGTTAAGTTAAAAGGGACGTATTAATAATCGCCGCCCTTTTAAAATATTGAGCATTAAAAAATGAGAAAAATTGGACAAGTATTTAAAAAGGAGTGGATTTTCAAAACAAGATTTTATAGTCATAATAAGAGTAAATCAGTCAATATCTGATTTAGTGAAAAGAGGCTTTAATTGAATTGGCACGCTCCAATTTAGAATTGGGTCGTTAAATAAACAATTAAGACAATGGTCTTTTGTCTGTGTAGTATTTCTCAATACTACAATAGTGTCTGAATACGCGGTTGTCTTGTCTAAATACAAACCGCATTCGAGGAAAATTTTAAAGTCTTATGCATTAAAAGGCCCAAAATTAAGTTTTCTATATCGTAAGCTCAAATTTGTGCAATTGATCAAATTTTATTGGCTTTTTTAAGCCAATCAAATACAAGCAACACAGGCTTTCCGACGATCAGTCTTTCTAGCCAAAAATATAAAAATATTAGCCAAAATTACCGAAAAGGTGAAACTTGGTAAAATAATCAAACTAATTTATAGTCACTTACCAAAACCTTGCCCAGACAAGAAAAAAATGCAGTAAAATGGCTTAACGACAAAAAATTTTAAATTCATCATAATTTCAGCTATTAATTCTATCTGCTTGAAATTTCAATTAAAATGGCGGAAAATATCAAATGAACTTGTTGTCTAATTAGCAAATCACAATGAATTTCTGTTCAAGAGATGTAAAACTAATGAGTTTGGGCTGCTGAGTGCATACGGCCCAAGTTTTCAGTCAACCAATTGGCTACGTGCTATTTACACATCAACTACCAGCTCGCTTTTTATAATGAAGTTTTTGCGTTCTTCCTTGGAGAGATAGCTAGCTTAATTGTTTATTTCGAAGGGTGGTTTGAGATCCAAACAATCATTTATTTATACTTTTCCTTCTGATCTATGTGAAATTTTACATACTGCAAAATTCCTTGTGAAACTTTTTTACAATCAAAGTTTGTTATGTTAAAAAATCCATTACAATTGTATTTGACATCTTTTACGAACAAGTGCGAAATTGCTGCGTTGACTGTGTTCGCGTTTTGGCAAAATGACGACACTTTTTTGTTCAGCATTTTGAACTCTGAAAGCTGTTCATTAAAGTTTTTGATTTTTTCAATATCCTTGTTCAATTTTTTCACGCTTTCTTCGTAGAGTAAGTAGTCTTTAGGAGAAAATAATCGATGTGCTTCTTTTTCTTGCTGAGTGAAACTTATCATCGCAGAACTTTTAGCGACGTTCATTTTCTGGTAGACTACATCTTCCCAGTTCCAAGATAATTTGTTTTTCAAAACAACGAGGCTTTCGTCGAACATTTCGTTAACAATCAGAACAGAAAAATTATTAGAAATTTGCTGGACATAATTTGTCACGTCAATGTCCTCTTTGATATCGTAACCACCGAAATCCACAAACATAATGTTTTGGTATCTTCTTGCGTCGAAACCCTAAAAGTCAGCAAGTACCAACAAATTTATTTGAAAAATTAAAACATAGCCAACAGACAATTGGAAATGAGTAAAGGAACAAAAATTAACAGAAAAATAATTCTGGCTCACTTTAAAAAAAAAACATCTCAGCTTACGAATTTCAATGAAAAAATATATGACTTCAAGGCTTTTTTCAATTTCTATTGCAATTTATGATTGACTCGTTTATGATAAAAATTAACCCAATTTGAGAAAACTGGACCAATAGGTGAAATTTTTAATCCGCTGGGAAGTCTGAAAACTAAATTTTTCTTTCAAAATTAGAGGCCAATCAGGTTTTTTGCAAGAAAGGTCTTTCCTGAAAAAAAAATCACGGCCTATAAAAGAGTCTTCACTACGTTTTAAGAATTTCAAAAGCCAAGTAAGAAAAATTGGTCGTTTTTTATCGAGGTTTTAACCTATTTACCGCTTCAAGTCATCAATTTTTAGTTAGTCCACAACCCAGTTATACTATGGGCGCTTTTGACGTCAAAACTCTAACTTTGATAAATTTGAGGGGATGACGGGCGAGTTTGACAGAAAAATTAAGTAATGGCATGGTTAAGTAATAGACAAAAATTAAGTAATAGATAATGTATGGAAAAATAGGAAAAATAGGATTATTTTTGGCACAGCGCAAAAATAAAAAAAATGGCGGAAGTATCGACAAGGCTTTGAAAAAAGTTATCCTGACGAAAAATTTGTGCACGCTATTGGCATTGTATCTTTTTTATGTGAAAGCTGAATTTTATCTCTTTACCTACTCCATTCTCCAGGCGCGGATCTAGAATTATGTCGGGGAAAGGGGAGAATTTTCAAAGCGTTTGCTAAATTTTTGTCGACCTTAAATTTTGTTTGAATGGCTTCTCTCAATTGCAAAAACAAAGTTATAAATAATTTTGCTTGCGTCGATCTTTTTGATATCCCCTTTTACAAGAAGTTGCAGTTGCTCCAAGACTGTTGAAAGCCCCTCTTCTTTCGATTCGATTCTATTCTCCCCGTGGAAGTATTCTCGAGTGTAATAGAAGTAGGATCTGAATTGACTAAGGGGTTCCCGTGTCAGTCCAATCAGAGTGAACGGAGTCTCCATGATCGAGTTCCAGTAGTTGTAGTTGTACATTGTGTGCAAGGCCATCACCTAAAAATTTCATGACAAATGTAGGTCATTTTTTGGCTTCATTTTTTCTGGCTCTTTTTTGGTCACTCCTGTTACTAAGTAGTGATTGAACGATTGTGTCGATAAAACATAATCCAATTAAAATTGAAATGGTCCCCTATTCTAAATGGACCGAATGTCCGAACGCTTTGTAGGTCAATCATACTTCAGAACTCGAAAATTGAAGAAATTAGCTATTTGAGGGAGACTAGCAGAGACAATTTGTCAGCAAAACATTGAAAAAAGTGATAATCAGAATTCTGTGGTTAATCGATTACGAGCCCAAACTGTGTTTTTTCTGAATTTTAGGCGGATTTCGCTACAGGCCAAAAACAGAATTGTTGTGGAATCCACAACATTGCTAACTTTCTTTGATCCGCGACAATCTTTTGCGGAATTCATAAACAAATTCTAATAAATTTGTTCAGTAAACTTAAGCTGTCGAGGATTCCACTACTGTGATTGGAATCCACAAATTGTAAGCGGAATCCGCAAATTGTAGGCGGGTTCCGCAAATTGTAAGCGTAACCCGCTAACTGAAAGCGGAATCCGCATAAATCTGAGGAATCCACTTACATTTGTGGAATTCGCTTACAATTGCGAATCCGGAACAACTACTTATTTTTGCTTTCTGCGGAATCCCCAACAAAACAAATGTGCCGACAACATTTACGTTTTGCAGTTTTGCATGCGGAATCCATGGAATTTTTGTAAATGGAATCCGTTTACATTTTGGAACCTGTTTAAATTTTTGTCTCTGGATTCCCGAAACATCCAGACACAAAATTTTGCGTCTATCCAGTGAACATTTTGGCCTCGTAATGTCAAACTTTTTGTCTCGAAATAGTTAATCAAAATCTACGATGTAAATTTTGATAACATCAATCAAAACAAATTTATTAAACGAGTACACCCTGATGTTCTTAGCGTTTACTATCTCACGCTTTAATTATTCCAAATTCCAATAATTTTTATAAAAAATCAAAACTAGTAAAATATTTTTCTACAATTTGAGTCCAGGACAGCACTAATTTTCAGATGGCAAAAATGTTGTTCAAAAAAGGCTAGTTAAACAGTCGAAATTGGTCTGGAGAAAAAATGACCAACCGAGAGCAAATGTTTCGTCACTTTTTTCGAAAGCCGCAACAATGAACAGCCTTTATTAATCCTACTTTCAAAGAGTGTGAAGGAATAATTTTGCTCGGGTTAGTTTTTTCTCCAGACAAGTTTCGACTTTTAAACAAGCAATTTTTGTCAGAATTTTCTAATATCGTCCGAAAAGTATTGTTATTTTGAGCTCAAATTTTAAAAGATATATCATAGGTGATTATTTTTAATACATTTATGAAGGATTTAAAGAATGCAAATTCGGTCAATTCGGGACAATTAACGCGCAAAAGATTTGAAACCGATTTTAAAACTATTTTCGTTTTTCTGGAACACTACTCCATAGACCTTAAAGGGAGTCGGTTATTAAAGGAATCACCATAATACGAACAGTCTTGCTGTTTTTTAATATTCTTTGAAAAACTTTTTGCAATGTTTTTGAGTAAAAGTGACTATGAAAATCGATACGCTGCAAAACTGAGCGTAACGCAGATTTTTGAAAATTTTCAAAAAAAAGGTGAAAATTTTCAAATTTGCAGTGCCAAAGTTTCATGGAGGCTTTTCAAACTGCTAAACTGCTTGTAGATCTTAGTTAGATTTTAGTTAGATTGAAAGGTCTTAGTTATCAATCACAAGTAATAATTTTGCCATTTTCATTGGCGTATCACTGCAAAATCGCAACATTGTAATTGTCAATGTTTTCAAAAAGAGGCTCTACCATTGTGATCATCAAAGGTGCCGGAACCAGAATTAAATTCAGTTTTAGAACCTCAAAAAAGACCTAAATTTGCAAGAGTGAGTCGAATAATTTCGAAGCGACACGACTGAAAAAAGTGGCTAAGCATCCTTTAGCCGGCTAAAAGTGCATCAAAAAAGATAAAGCAAAAACAGCATGGGAAATTTTCGAAATTGGATCCATCGAGGCGAAACCGCAAACTATTCAGATGCGATAGGCTAAAAAGAAGCCAGTTTACCTATTTTAGCCTCAAACTGGTTCCTTAAGCTTTTTCACCGTTTTTCCAAATAAGTTTTTGAAATTTTGCAACATTCCAACTTGGTTCAACGCTTTGGATATCACCCCTCCATTCTTTAATTTTTTTTTACTGGAACTTCAAAAAAAATGTTTATATTAAATTTCTTAGTCAGTTTCTACAAAAATTAAAAATAATCGATTATATTAAATTTAAAAAGGTTTTTAGTTTTTTTTGTCATAGTGATAAATCAATTTTCATCGACTATCATCGATTAACATGGAATATGCAAAAAGGATATTAAAAAACAGTGCAGTATTCTCACTTTCACAACTTGACAATTTCTTAACACACGTTTGGTTAGAAAAGTTTATATGTGAGATTTTTTTCCTTGACAATTTTTTAACACATTTTTTTAGTTTCTCCAATTTTTCTGATCTTTTTTTAAACCCTTCTTTAAACCATTCACGTCCATTTTTATCTGCCTTTCCATCTTACGTTTAACTCCCTTTGGCCAACCCACCTTCCCACGCCCCCCCTTCCCTTGTAAACGGGGATGAACATGATATTTCGGGTTCAATATTTCGGGTTCAAATCCACGAAATAAAGCAGTTTCCGTGGATTTTATGAACAAAAAATAATGAATAAGGAAAAAAAACAAAAAAGGAGTTTACCTACTTTGATGGATTGTAATAGATTTTTGAATTTTGCAGTTCATCAACTAAAACCCCTAAAAATCCATTCTCATTGTTAATTGGGTCATTAATATCGATTACACTGCAGGGGCGGATCTAGGCCCCCTCAGGAATTTGACCATAACAAATACCAAAAGGTCCCCCTTTGGAATTTTTACTTCAACTTTTTCAAAGATCTCTTTGTTCCTTGAGAAAGGTGTGAAAATTGTGAGGTGTGGTCATTTTAAAACCTTCTCCTTTGGACTTCATACTCCTTCTGTACTGAAACCTGGACAACAAGTTCAACTTTCCAGATGTCAAGACGAGCTGCTTCCAAGGACTCCAAAGCGTATGGCTTCAAGACGCTGAATGCTTTCTTCATCAGTGGACCCAATAAATCACCACCCTCATCCAGAGCATCCACTCCTGAGGTTGACGTTCCTGTGACATCAACTCCTATGTCATACCTGGACAATCAAGGTTTGAGCCATTGGCTCCTTTAGCCACTAAAAATGATGAAACTCTTTCATCAATTAGTTCTATATCTCCGTTCTCTGGGCAAGCTCTACAATCTCCATCCTACATTCACGTCGGTATCTACAGCTTCAGTTCACTGGACATGAACAGGCACATCAAGTTTGCGCTACTGGACAATCCCAACAAACCCCACTACAAATTTAAACATTTAGCTTATGACCAAACAGGGAAAACAAGAAAAAGAAACACTTGGCCTCAACACCTGGAAAGATACCAGTTCCTGACCTACTCCATGATCCAAGAGCGATTGTACTGCCACTTCTGCTTGTGTTTTGCTGACCTGGAAGAAATAAAGACAGCAGCGATTCAGCTTGTCAACAAGCCGTTAGAGGAGTTTGCACGCCCCAGAAACCACCTAGTTCCACATCAAAAAACAGCCCATCACAAGAAAGCGCTGGAGAAAACTCAAGCCTGCCTTGATATTGTCAGACACTCAAACAGGAACATCGAGGTGAAACTTGATCGCGCAAATGCAAAAGAAATGAAGAATAACAGGAAGTTTCTGGTCGCAATATTTAGTACAATCATTTTCAATGCCCATTTCGGGTTGCCCCTCCGTGGCCACTAAGATGATGATCCAACCAACTCGGAGCAAATTGAAGTCAGATCTGGAAGTATCAAGGCACTTCTCTAGTTCAAAGCAGCAATTGGCGATCAAGTACTAGCTCAGCATTTGGAGACGTGCAGAAGAAATGCATAAAACATCAGCTATCAATCTAAGAATCTTCTCATCAACATTATTGGGAATATCATTCGGGAACAACCTGTTTCCACAGTCAAGGCCTCCAACTATTTCACCATGTTAGCCGATGAGACGAGTGACATCTCAAGAAGTTGGAAGGTCTCAATATCGATCAGATACTGGGTTTCCACTGAGAACCCTAAAGATTTTCTGGGCTTCGTGGACACAGTCGACACAAGGGCAAATGAGGTAGCTGAAGTCACCCTCGCTCGTATCTCAGAAATTGGAATTGGAATTGGAGAGGCCCATCTGAACCGATCTCGTTCAGATGCTTTCCTCGAGAACATACGGAAATTGCAGCCTGAAGCAAAACCAAAGATGACTGACACTCAATGGGTTAAACGACAAAATGCTGTTCTCACTTTTAGCTAGCTCAAGCCTTCCATTGAAGCTACACTAGACGACATCGACAGTTGGCCTGGGAAAACTGTGCATCCGACTGATGTGCTTTTTTGGCTAGCATGATGCGATCAGAGTTCTTGAGTGCGCTGATGACAATGAAACACCTGCTGGGAGAGACTAAAGCTACCAGCATTGCTCTTAAGAGACCTTCGCATAGATCACATTTGGAACTTGTGACAACTCTTTCAACAATGGTCGCTGCAAAAAAGTAGTTTACTCTGACGCTGAAAGGCTTGGTGATGTTCAGATAGAGGGCCAAAGAGGCAGACCTACCATCGCATCATCGACTTATGACCACTTAGAACAGACCGTTTACCTGCCCTTTATTGACTTTGTCCTGATGGACCTCAAGCAACGCTTCATTGGAGCAGTTTCTTAATATGTCCAAGTGTGCAAGCTGCTGCTTCATACGAAGGCGTACATCCAGATATGGATTTCCTCCAGCGAGCTCGAATTTCGGAAAAACATGTGGCGCTTCCCCTTTGTGCACGGATACGCCAGAAAACTTCACAAGTGTCCTAAGAGTGTCACAAACTGATAATGCCAATAGTTTTTGCTTTGCTACAGATTGGTGCTACCCTCCCAGTGACTGTACGCATTGCTGAGCGCTTGTTTCGAGCACGCATGAAATAGCTAAAACGTTACCTCCACTCCAATATGAAGGAGTATCGATTTGCAAATTTGGTGCTGATTTACATCCCCAAAGATGTAAAAATCAAAGTCCAGGATGTCATTGACAGATTTGCCGCAAAAAATTAAAGATTCAATTTTGTTTAATTTTGTTAATTTTTTTATTGTATAGAATTCATTGTTTTTGTGAAAATTGTTTGAATCCGGCCCCTCAATAAAATCCTATGTCCACCCCTGTTACATTGTTTAAATATTTTGTCGGTATGAACTAATAAAATTGATTTTTTAACTTAAAACAATTGTTCGGGTTGATCCAATTTGTAATGAAACTTTTCAATTTGATTTCAACTAAAATTTTGTGCATGCTGAAATAGGTTTTTGAATACGAAAATTTTTTGTTCAAGTTTTCGACGGAGCTCTAGAACCTGACCACCGCTAATTTGGATCTGACCACCGCGAAAGTTTTTAAACGCAAAACTAATAACAACTTCGGCTTTAATGCAAACAATTTCATGCTTTCCGACAGTGTTGTTGATCACGAATGATTTTACTGTGAGAAAACGAAATGCTCCTAAATGGTCACTTCGAAAGCATACATTGTTTTTAAGAAGGGGCTTATGGAAAACCAGCACACAGCAAAAACTTTGGTCTAATTGCATTTGCTCCCTACTCTCTATCTTCGCAACGAAAGAAAGTGTTCGATTAAAAGAGTTCAACAATTTCGACCTCATCAAAAATCGACTACCCTCTTAATTTCAGGGGGACGTGCTTGAAAATTATACTCTCGAAACTGGATTTGAAAAAAATTTTCACGTGTTAATCTCTTTTTGAAAAAATTGAAACACGGTGATGTGTTCGGAGAAATGTCCAATGTTTGTGACCCTTCGAAACATTTGACAATGATATAGCTGGACCCAATTTCAATAAAAAACTAATAAACGAGTTTTAAAAAAAATGAGTTTTCAAATAGTCAATAACCAGGTTCTTTTTTTTGCAGTTTAATTTTAAGTTGAATGATGTGATATTGTTGATAAACATATCTTCTATGGATTATATAAGGGAGATTTGTCTCCCTGACCACCCGGGTTGACCTCCATAGACCAGAAATGCATGTCATACATTTCCATAAACTAAGTCTATGAAAATTAATACTCAGACAAATTTCATAAAATTTGCTTAAACGAAGTCATCTAATTTTCAAATAAAACACAAAATATTATTAAAAAAATGCTAATCATACAACTTCCAACGTTTCTAAGAAAAGTTGAAGTTTCCCCAAAAAATTTTTTTTATCGCTAAAAGAAGTTTGAAAGCAAACACACATTTTCTGTTTCTGATAAAAAACTTTTTCTGCAAGCAAAATTAAGTTGTTTGTGTGCATAACGTATTCTTGGATCCACAAAAAATGATTTTTTTTTCCATTTCTCAGGATAACTTTTTATCAAAAACACTCAAAACGCCTATTTGTTTTGTATGGCATGTTTTTGTATGCCTTGATCAATGCATGATTAATTAAAAATTCAAATTAAAAAAAAATCACCTTTGAAATTATTTGCCAAAAATTAAAAATTTGATAGCTTTAATATATCAGTTTTAAGACAAAAACAAGACAGTTCAGACAGTTTTCGATGATTTGTAATTGCGAGACAATCAAACCTTTGGTGACTCTGTCTTTGAGCAACCAAGGTTTTTGCCATTTGTATTCGCTTAAAAACACAACAAAGTTTTTGAGAAATTAATTTTTATAAGAAAAAATTTTTTTTTGGTTCATGGAAAAATGCTATTCATACAGCTTCCACATATGAAAAATGACTACTCATAAACCTTTCATGCAACTTGCTTAAAAATTGTATGATTATTTTGGTCATCCCTCGCACCTAAATGGCTCCTATTTTGTACTAATTTACGGCATCCATGCCTCAGTATACTGCCTGTGGCGGAAAGTTCTGACAAATTAGACTTTTCAGTAATTTGAAAAAGCATGGAGAATCATTTTTGAAGTTTAAACACAGAGGCGAAGCTGCATTTTGCCAACACAAGCAAATAAACGCAAACAGTTACTTATAAAAAGACCGAAAAAGAAAAAATGAAAATCGTAATGAGTTTTGAAAAACGAATGACCTCTACGATAATTGAACCTCAATCCCCAGTAATCAACTTTCCCAGCAGAACTCCACAAAAAATTGTGCCCTTGAAGCTTATGGTAACCAAAAGCAAATGAGAAAGCGGCAGAAAAGAGCTTCAAAATGCACAAAAGCCCAAGTTTTGCATCAATTATTTGGAATGTAATTAACTAATAGCAAACCAACCACACTAGTTTTGTGTGTACTAAATTGGAAAGTTATAAAGAAAATTGTGTAAAATTTAGAATTTTGGAGTAAGTATATTGAATTAGCAAGTATATTGAATTGGAAAATTTGAAATAGAGTTTTTGTGTTTTTACTGTTGTATGAAACAATTTGTTTTTTTTCTCGCTCAATTGATGAATCAAAATTGCTTCAACTGCGCTTACTAATCGAATGGCAAAACATTGGCTATTAAACTGCTGTCAAAGCAGCTGGCTGCAAAAAAGCCAACCAACAAAATTGCACTAATATTTGCAATTTAGAATGAAAAAAAGTTGCCTTGAAGTATCACACTACGCTACGCTTGTGTAAAAAAGTCAACTAAATCAAAATATAGGAATTTTTATTTGAAAAATAGCCCCTCTTGAGGAATTAAAAATTCAGTTATCGTCCTTTCTTCTATTTAGGAAAAAGAAGAAAATTAAGTACAGGTTCAAGATGCTGAACGGCAATAAAAGTTCTTATTAAGAGTTAGTTTGCTTTAATAGGTAGCAGGTGTAGCCCATCGCTCGATTCGTGATCTTGACAAAAAGAGGATAAAATATAACGGAGAGCACTCATGTTTATTGGTAAAATGTTGAGGATACTTTTTGCAAGGTCAAAAACCAATTCATATTTCTAAGGCTTTTTAATTTGTCTAATTTTTAATTTAATAATTCCCAAAGAAAAACAAATGTAATTTCTTAGTGTATTGTATAATTTATTGTTCCGACTTTCGATACGAAAGTAACGGAATATTTGTGCTCGGGGTGGTTTTATTTTTCTTCAGACAAATTTCGACTTTTTAACTAGCCATTTCTGACGGAATTTTTTTATATCATTCGAAAGCTATTGTTGTCCTGAGGTCAAATTTGAAAAGATATTTCACCTGTGATCATTTTTCGTAAAGTTATGGGGGTTTAAAGATAGCCATTTTGGCCAATTTGGGACAATTAACGCGCAATATAATTCGCGCTATTAACGCGTAAGCGGAGATTTAATCCGTCTTAAAATTGTTCCAAATTGGTTGAAAGAAGCTTATTTGCCATAATTGATTTGTTACAAGGAGCTAAATCTATCTTTTTGTACTTTAAATGGCGTGTGGGGTGATGATTTTCAGAAAAAATTTCAAATTTTAGAAAAAAAAAATTTTCATTTTATTTTATTACATTCAATTTTTTGATGTTAATACTGCTCCATAAAACCTTAAAAGGCAGTCGGAACATTCGGGGCTTCGCCCTGATACGAGCAGTCTTGTTATGATTTTATAATTTAAACCATGTCCAAGGTTTTTGGTAAGTTACATTTTTTGTATCCCTGGTCCTATTTTCAATACAAAAAATTAGTTGTTTTGATGCCATTAGTTTATTCTCATTACGAGAATTTCGGTAAGTTGATATTCAGCTAATAGAGAATTTAAACAAACCTGAAACTTTCCATTTGGCAATCGTGAAGGATTTTGTATTCGAAACTGAGGCTTCATTGAGTAGCTGAAATAACAATTTTAATAAACAAGATTGGTTGTAATAGGGCAATGGCCTCAATATTTTGACTGGCCTTTAAAGTAGCTAGACTGCTTTTCGTCAAAATCATTTTTAAATTTTTTTTATTTTTGAGTATCAGTGTTTATTTCCTTTTTTCAAATTCTTCCAATCACAATGTCATACATAATGAGAGTGTGTTTAATAAGCAACTTGTTTTTTGTGTCTGGTAACGCGTTATTACGACCGAATAGCTGCGGCATCAATTGGTAATGATGTCTGAGTTCCTTTACACCGCCTAGACTTTTACACAGCGTAGACCTTTACACAGCCAAATTGAAATGCGTCACCACTGCTTTCAGCGCAGTGGTTATAAACTTGCATCCAAAAAGTCGGCCAAAAAATTTCCTTTCACAAACTCTTGTCCATATTTGAACGGTTTAAATTAATCTTAAGAATAAATGCATTTCCAAAAAAATATAAATTCTGTTACTGAACTAAAATAGCAAGAGTATTGGCTCATTGGTTGACTAATTTTGATCACAGTTTTTCCATTTTTTTCATTTTCAAGTAATTGAGCTTGCTGCAAGTACCAATTGAGCCATCAATTGGGGTAAGTTATCTTGAAAATCGTAAATTGCGTCATCAGTTGCATCGAAATTTTTATCCAATCAGGTTCATAAATTGTAGAAATCGTAAGATACTTTTCAATCCAACTTTATCATAGAAGAGATGAGGGATCAACTGTACAATTACCCCCCCCCCCCCCCCCCAAATCGATTTAGGGGGGAGAAAATATGGATTTTTCATGAGCTAACTTGAGAACGCCTAGATTTAGTCAAAATTAGCCTCTTTAGTGAAAAAAAAAATGAATTAAAACATTAATCTAAGCAATTGACAGTATACAAATGCATTCCCCCATAAAAAATTTAAGAACCAAACTTATTTGCTCAATTCAGTTTCAGATTTATTACATGCTTGGGGAGGGCATTTTACGGTAGGTCACTTAGGGGGGGATTGTACGGTCGATCTGAGATAATAATCATAATAATAGAGATGGCTCAGTGGGTGAGGATAAAAATATCGGATCGACTTAATAATCTCCCCCCTTTCAAGAAAACAATGCAGCAAAATTAGAATTCGCAATAGAAAGCTCTGTGCCAATTTACTGTATTTCTTCAAAGGGGCGGAGATTCTTATAGGGAGGTAGGTGTTGAGTCTTCAGTAGATTCAAATTATCGAATGGAAAAATTTGCAATAAGTGTAAGGGAAGTATTTAAAACTTTTTCTTTTTCAGTTTGTTTGAAACATCATTTCGTTGGTAACACACCGCACTGAAGTTTCATGGATAATAATCGATTATATTGGATTTTCATTGTCAGTCTCTATAACATTAGAAAAATAATCGATTATAATCGATCAAAAATGAAGTCTAATGACACTATTTTTCTAACCTATAAAATCCCATTATAACCGATTATAATCGATTCTTTTTTTTCTTCAGACACATTTCCACTTTTTAACTAGCCAATTTTGACCGAATTTTTTTACATCATTCAAAAAGTATTGTTGTCCTGAGCTCAAATTTGAAAAGATATTTCACCTGTGATCATTTTTCGTAAAATTTTGGGGGTTTAAAGATTGTCATTTTGGCCATTTTGGGACAATTAACGCGCGATATATTTAGCGCTATTAACGCGTGAGCGGAGAGTTAATCCGACTTAAAATCCTTCCAAATTGGTTGAAAGAAGCTTATTTGCCATAATTGATTTGTTACAAGGAGCGAAATCTATCGTTTTATATTTTGTATGGCGTGTGGGGGGATGATTTTCACAAAAAAATTCAAATTTTAGAAAAAAAAATTTTTCATTTTATTTTTTACATTTAATTTTTTAATGTTATTACTGCTCCATAAAACCTTAAAAGGCAGTCGGAACATTCAGGGCTTCGCCCTGATACGAGTAGTCTTGCTCTAATTTACCGATTAACCAATGAAAGTCAATCAAAACCGAGCATCTTGTTGTTCCGACTTTCGATACGAAAGTGACGGAATATTTGTGCTCGGGGTGGGTTTTTTTTTCTTCAGACAAATTTCGACTTTTTAACTAGCCATTTTTGACGGAATTTTTTTATATCATTCGAAAGGTATTGTCTTCTTGAGCTCAAATTTGAAAAGATATTTGACCTGTGATCATTTTTCGTAAAGTTACGGGGGTTTAAAGATTGCCATTTTGGCCAATTTGGGACAATTAACGCGCGATATATTTTGCGCTATTAATGCGTAAGCGGAGAGTTAATCCGTATTAGAAATTGTTCCAAATTGGTTGAAAAAGCTTATTTGCCTTAATTGATTTGTTACAAGGAGCAAAATCTATCCTTTTGTACTTTATATGGCGTGTGGGGGGATGATTTTCAAAAAAAATCTATTCATTTTTATTCTTTCCTTTAGTTTTTTAATGTTATTACTGCTCCATAAACCTTAGAGGGCAGTCGGAACATTCAGGGCTTCGCCCTGATACGAGCAGTCTTGTTTTCTTTCTTTTTCATAGATTGAGAATCTAATTTGTTCGAATAAGTTGAAAAATCCAAATATTTTTGGTGGCTCATGTGCAACGAGTCTCTGAAATTGGTAACGAAATAAATAAATTCGCTGACCCGACTACGGATGATGGTCGTTCGGGAAGTAGCACTTCCAGTTTGTGGTTTTCGGCAAAACGCAGAAGCAGAGAAGCCATCATATCACCAGCACACTGAAGCAAAACAAAAAGCTAAAATTATCGGCAGTGATTTATCAAGGATCAAATTAACGATCACCCCCTATGATCTGTTTAACTATATCTTCCCTCTAGCTAAAGGGGATATTCATTACTATGTAAATACTTCATATATGCTAAACGTTGAATTATTTCATGATAGGGGTGTCAATTCGTTACTAGACACCAAGGGGGGAAGTAGTAAAAGATATCCGCCCCTAGATAAATTTAGGGAGGAGATCGTTTACATATTATCAGGGAGCGGATAATAGTTGCTTTCAAAAAGGCAAAAAAGTTACTAAGAAGTTGCTCAAAATTGACTGGAAAAGTTGCTCAAAAAGTTGGTAAAAACTTGCAGAAAAACGTTAAATTTACAACGTTTTGTTACAGTAGCAGAACATAAGTTACTCAGTTTTTTGCCCGAACTGTCTCTGAAAGTTTTCCTTTCGGCATTCCAGAAAAGTCTGAAAAGAAACAAGAATCGAGACAGAGCAACGTGATTGTGAACGTGAGAAAACAAGTTACAGTGCACAGTAAAAGTTGTGTGAACAAAGTACTTCAACAAACAAAACGAAGCACGGATGGCTGAGCTGCCATTGGATAATTAATATTCGCCAGCTGCAGCGCATCTGTGTTCGTTGAATCCGTTAATATGAGCTTCAAACAAAGAAAACTTCCGAAAAAGTTGCTATTGTGAAGTTTATTGGAAAATAGATAGTTATAGGGAAAAACAACAGAAAAGTTGGAAATAGTTGTTTTTAGTTGCTAAAACTATTACCCGCTCCCTGCATATTATATCGTCGATAAAGGTATCATTTTTGTAAAGGATATAGGTATCGTTTACGTGGTGGAAGGCCAACAAGCCGAAGGGCAAACAAACTAAAAATTTGATTAGGATTCAAACAAGCCGAAAATTAATTTTATTATGCAACATGTTAACAAGATTGCCACTGCAGTTATAAAAAGTTACGTAACTCTTGCTGTAATTTTCGTAATTCTTATGTAATTTCGGCTTCAAGATAGAAAGGTTTGTTGAATAACCGCCCGTTATTATATTTCAGCCAAACAGGTTTGCATTGTGCACTTAATTCGCTGATTTAATTTTGTTACAGCGACAACGGAGTGCGGTCTGTATTTAGACAACCGTGTATTCATACTCGTCAGTAAGCAAACAACTACTGTATTAGCTAATCAGAATCGAGCTGGGAGAGCAAACTTACCAAATAAACGATTATTAATAAATAATTTCTTTGTTGTCTTGATTCTGATTGGTTTAAATAGTATTTGTCTGCTTACTGACGGGTATGAATACGTAGTTGTCAAGATACTGCTCCGTAACGAGCGACAACTCGCATCATTTTCTTGTCATTCTATATTGAATAATTTTGCTGAGTGAATTTATTGTTCCGACTTTCTATACGAAAGTAACGGATTATTTGTGCTCGGGGTGGGTTTTTTTTTTCTTCAGACAAATTTCGACTTTTTAACTAGCCATTTTTGACGGAATTTTTTTATATCATTCAAAAGTTATTGTTGTCCTGAGCTCAAATTTGAAAAAATATTTCACCTGTGATCATTTTTCGTAAAGTTATGAGGGTTTAAAGATTGCCATTTTGGCCATTTTGACCAATTTGGGACAATTAACGCGTAAGTATAATTCGCGTTATTAACGCGTGAGCGGGGATTTAATTCGTCTTATAAATCGTTCCAAATTGGTTGAACGAAGCTTATTTGCCATAATTGATTTGTTACAAGGAACTAAACCTCTCTTTTTGTACTTTATATGGCGTGTGGGGGGATGATTTTCATAAAAATTTTCAAATTTTAGAAAAAAAATTTTCATTTTATTTTATTGCATTTAATTTTTTTATGTTATTACTGCTGCTCCATAAAACTTAAAAGGCAGTCGGAACATTCAGGGCTTCGCCCTGATACGAGCAGTCTAGTTTGTTTTACGAACGAAGGCCGCTGTTCGCGTCATTCCTCTGAATATTGTTACCACGTCAAGTTCTGAATGCAAAATAACGGTAAAAAGCGAGCTTAGCTAAACAAAATAACTCAGTTTAGAATGAAGAGAGAAAGGGTGAAGTCCCACATGCACCAAGGTTCGCTTGCACCAAAATGATAAGTTGGACGCGTTTGTACCAGAATTTTTCAACTTGATTTCTGATTCGTCAATTTTGGGGCCAATAAAAATTTAAACTAATTGCCTATTCTTCGAACAGCTTGAAACCAAACGACATCAAAATAATGATCACCGCAGTCGCGCTAACGTCTTACGAGCACCCAGCAGAGGGAAGGAGAGACGCAGTCAGCGTAACAATCTTTGAACACTTTTGAAACAAAATCGACCGATTTTTAATTTGGAACAAACAGTGCTTTTTTTGTTCATTTTACTACTTGTGAAAATGCACTGAGAGAAAAGCCTTATAGCCTCTTCAACTAGTAAGGGAATTCTGGGCTCTAAGCTTCACGCTTTCATGCGGGGGCGTAGCGAATTGCATGTTGCCTTTTAGCAGGCAATAGCTGCTTCAATTGGGTGTCCAATTATAACAAAAACAAAGTAGCCTGAACGGGTCTTATGCATTAAAGGGCCCAAATCAGTATTTCTTCAACTTGATCTTGAAATGAAACTAATGTGGTTGAATCAGATTGGCTACTTAGCTAATCAAATTCAAGCTACATGGACCGGCCTTTCAGTTCAAACTTCATGCAGCTAAAATGATCGTTGATATAACCCAACTTTTTCGGTTGTAAACTTTTTTTCGGTTGGAACCATTTAAACTGAAATTTTCTTGGCGGAGCGAAGATTCAAAAGTGACTTGACATTTGATAGATTATTTGGCAAAATGCACATTTTCGATAAATGTGTCTAAAATTTTTATCTGCTGGGCATGAGGATCGAAATGATACCTGACAGCGTTACTTGACTAAAATTAGCCAATCGGATTCCACCGTCCACCGTATAAATTTCAGCCTCAAACTTTGAAACAATTTTTTGGGCCGTTTAGTGGATACGACCCACCTAAACATTCAAGCACGACTGCTTTTATAGCAGGGAAAATCCCTGAAGGTTCCGACCGCCCCTTAATCGGTGTCAAATAGTTGTTGGTACAGAACATATTTTGAAACCATAAATTTTGGACAACATCATGAGTGCAATTAGTTAATGCGAACGATTAGTTCTGCATCAATTTTGTTAAACGGGATAACTCGCCGCGCAGAAACAAATCGCACAAGACTTTTGGCATCAATGTTAAAATCTTCACAGCGCGCATAAATTAACCCAAAGCAGGGCCAAACTGGCAATTTCTACAATCCCGAAACTTTACAAAAATTGAGGCAAAATATATTTCTACATTTAAAATCAGCGGCGAAAATTGGGTGATAAAATAACCACCACAGCATAACTATTCCCCGTTTCGTCCAAATTCGGAACACTTATCTCGGAAACAACTTGACTTGCCAGGTAAATTAAAAATTAGCTTTATTAAAAATTCGGCCAAATGCGCAAAGATCAAAATCGCAAACTGGAGTAAACAAAGCGGTAATTTGCGATGAACACATTTTGTGAATTTTGTGCGGTTTTTTCCAAAATTAAACCAAAATTGCAGTAGTTTTGAGCGATCTTTCTTATATCATTTGGAAATTTGATGTCCTGAGATCAAACGATCAGATGCTTCACTATGATCATTCTTTGAAAACGTATGGGGGTTCGAAAATTTTCAGTGTTAACTAATTTGAGATAAATACTCTGCGATAAATATTCTGATATGAACACGGAAGCGGTGATTTAACCAGCGCAGAAATCATTCGAAACTGAATTCAGGCAAGTTATTGTTCCGACTTTCGATACGAACGTAACGGAATATTTGTGCTCGGGGTGGGTTTTTTTTTTTCTTCAGACAAATTTCGACTTTTTAACTAGCCATTTTTGACGGAATTTTTTCATATCATTTGAAAGGTATTGTTGTCCTGAGCTTAAGTTTGAAAAGATATTTCACCTGTGATCATTTTTCGTAAAGTTATGAGGGTTTAAAGTTTGCTATTTTGGCCATTTTGACCAATTTGGGACAATTAACGCGCGATATAATTCGCGCTATTAACGCGTAAGCGGAGATTTAATCCTTCTTATAAATAGTTCCAAATTGGTTGAACGAAGCTTATTTGCCATAATTGCATTGTTACTAGGAGCGAAATCTATTCTTTTGTACTTTATATGGCGTGTGGGGGATGATTTTCATAAAAAATTTCAAATTTTAGAAAAAAAATTTTCGTTTTATTTTATTTCATTTAATTTTTTTTATATTATTACTGCTGCTGCATAAACCTTAAAGGCAGTCGGAACATTCAGGGCTTCGCCCTGATACGAGCAGTCTTGTTTGCTCTTAATAATAGATTCACAGACAGTGAATGCGTCACTTTTTAATTTTCATAGCGTCTAGGGGGATTTTTAAAAAAATCATTGTCAAATTGGAAACAAGGCTATTTCATAGACTTGAAGAGGCACTCAGGACGTTCACACGCTCATACAAGCACTTATTTTATTATCTCGTGAAATATAGTGATCTAAATGTGCAAATTTGATAAACTCACTTACGATTTCATGTTTTTGCAAGTCTCAATATCTGTTTCCATAGATTGTCATAGCTGATTCATTGATAACTAAGATTTCGAAAATTTTCAAAAAAATCTCAGTGTTATTTCATGAACAAAATTTGCAAAGGACGATTAAGTGCTTGGACGTAAAAATTTGTTCTTATCCATGTTGAAAATGCGGTCCTGAAATAAAAATGCACAAGTTTCGTTTAATGATGTTTGAGCAAAACAAAAATGTAAGAGTCGCTGAAATCGGACTGCATTGACGCAAAACGTATTTTATTTCATTAAATTTCCAAATCTTCTTTGTTCGGATTGGTTTAAGTGCTACAAAATTGAGCTAATCTTATATATTTATGATTTTTTCCTAAGGCAGGCTGTCGTTACCGTGGGAGATTCAGATGGGAACATTTAAGTTGTTTGCGGTATTTAAATTTATGGTTTGCTGTAAACAACTCTACTGAAGCTATCGTTGCTTTATCAACCATTTGTTTTTTCAATTAAACAAAAAAAAACGACCAACTGAACAACTTATTTTGGGGTATAACAGTGCTGAAACAGCATTGAATCGAACATGATTGGCTTTAAAAGGAACAGTTGAGAGTTTTGCTTATCAGCGCCAATCTGTTCGCTTACTTTTTTTCAGCTTTGAATTTTGCTGTGATTATAAACCGGGGTAAACTCAGTCTTAGAAATCCAAATTTATCTGATTTTGAGTAAAGTTTTCTTTTAATATTTTCAATATCGCGGTTTCAGTTTTGTCCACAGGTATAAACAGATATAAATCCCACTCGCGTATTGTCCAAGAGTCCTTAGAAAAAGAATAATGCTAAAAATATAAAATATCATAAAATGCGTAAAATTTGAGAAATTTTCAGTTCGAAAAGTTATATAAGTAATATTTTCCGTCTTGCAAATCACAGAGATTTTCTTTAAAAAAATTATACGACAGCGGATTTCCCTGTAAAAATCCCGAGGAAACCAAAAATTATAAAATCGTTAAAAACAGTGTAAATATTTTTGGATAAGTAATTACGGGTATATTTCGACTTTGGGAACAACTCAATTCTTTTCGAGCTTACTCAAGAAAAAAATGTTACTATTATTATCGAAAACTCATTTAGGGTCATTTGAGCAATGAATAGGACCACTGATATAACTTTTTGATCATGACCTACTTAGCAGATACACAGCAGCATGCAAAAATATGTAATTATGGTTCTGCCGATTAAGAAAAAAATCATAACAAGGATTCGACACACACATACAAGCAATTAATAATAAAAATGGCAAAAAAATTGTTTTTTTTTTGGCAATGAGAAGGGCGGAATAATTTCGCTTTAGGTGGTTTCGAAAAAAAGCGGAATAAAAGCTTGTCGTTTTTTTTGTCGTTTTTGAATTCTTAACTAAGCAGTTTGAGGGATTTTTCTTAGATCATCTGAAAGAAATTAATGTTTGGAGCTAGAGTTAAGCAAACAGACATTGATCATTTTTCGTAAAATCATGGTAGATAGAAAATTGTTATTTTGGCTATTTTGCGATAACTAACGCGCGATATGCTAAGTTCTTATAGCATAAGTACGCGGCGCCTTGATGCGTTCCAATATGAAATGAGCCAACTCAATTGGTCTTGTTATTGCCATAATTTATTTGTTACTAGGAGCGAAATCTATCACTTTGTTCGTTGAACTTTGGGTGGCGGATTTTCAAAAAATTCTGGAAAATTTTTTCGAATTTTCTTAGGTTAATTAGATTGATTGCAGGGCACTAAAAAAACCTTGTTTGGGTCAAATTTTTTTGCGCCGCAGGCACAATTTTGAAAAAACGGACAAAAAAAGGCATTTTTAGGCACTTTTCGGAAAAATTTGACCAAAAAAATCGCCTCCCCCTCAAAATTGTTATATTGGCGCTGAAGGCGCCTTTAGCAAAAAAATTAGGGTCAGTAAGCCAAAAATGGATGTCTCAAAATAGTGGGGGACCTCAAAATAGTAAGATAACACTAAATAGTGGGGAGGAAAATGGGGGGACCTTTTGGGTCGGAAGGGGGTCGAACCCTTGGCTATAAGTACAAAAATACAATTTCTTTTAATTCGGTAACCAACTGAAAAGCACGCAAAACAAAACAAAAATAAAACGAAATGAAGCGATGACGTTTGTTGAATAATAATGGATTACAATCCATTATAATGGATTTTAATTCAATAAAATTTGAGAAGACTTTCAAAATAATAATCGATTTTAATCGATTATAATGGATTATTCGATTATAATGATTATTATTGTTCCGAAAAATAGTAACAGTTCAATCAATTTTTAATCGATTGTAATCAATTCTTTTTAAAATTTATGGAGGCTGACAATAAAAATCTATTATAATCTATTATTTTCTCTTTTTACTGAGTGCGGAAACGTTCAAATGATTTTTCATCTCGCGATCAAATTGCGCATGGTATATGTTGAACCATATATAGAAAGTGACTATAGCTTACCTTATGAGTTTTGACCATCGCTACATTTTTTATTTTTTGACATTTTTTGATGGTTGAAATAGGCTGATTATTATATTCTAAAATTGATGAATCTGTCAAAGAATCTCCCAACATCAAAATTGGAAAGACATTTAATTTGTCAGAACAAAAATAGAGACATGTAACTGAAACAAACAGCAACGTCAGTAATTTTAAATTGAAGGTATTCATTTTGGGTGCATATACAAAACAGTCTCATACAAAACTAGTCCAATACAAAACAATCCGAAAAACCATGTAATGGAGGGGAAAAACAGTCCAATACAAAACAGTCCGGTTTAAGGTCGCCGGTGGGCGCGCTGCACGCGCGTCGCCGCTTCACGGCGATAACCGGCTATAAATTTCGTATTAAGTCCTACCCTCTGTTGGTAAGCTCGCAACACGTTGGCGCGACAGCGGTGGTTACTATTTTGTTCTTTATGATTGTTGATTAAAAACAACTACCGGCTTTTTAAAAACAATTATTACTTGGGACTTTTTTTCGGACTGTTTTGTATCTGACTGTTTTTTCGTTCTTTTTCAGACTTTTCCGGACTCTTTTGTATGGGACTATTTTGTACAGACATGTCATTCTGATAAAGGGAATTTTCGTTTTTGTTGGACGGTGTAAACAGTCAATCTATCAAAAAAGTGTATAAATGAATACATGAATAGACGTTATGTGCCACTAAATGATCATTTCCAGATTTATTTCAACAATTGCCAAATATATTCATCAAAAGCAAGTATCATTTACTTTTCACACTTGTTACAGATATCTTACGCAGTTAACAAACATACGGTTCAACACTCAAAGTTCAATTCAACATTCAGTTTTGAAGATGAAAAAAGTCATGATCAACTTACAAAACCAATAAAAAACCGGACTGGAAAGGAAATGCTGAGCAAACGATCATGGTGAACATTTTATTTCAGTTTTCTCAGCTGTTAGCCTTTTTTCTACTAAATAATTTAAGGTGATATGACTCATCATGTGGTATTTGATTTTTTTAGGGCGTTATCCTCCAATACAGCAGTTTTTTTGATACTACAGTTTGTTGATAGGTTGTTGCAAGTTTATCATTTCAGTTTAGCACGTTTTTTTTTCTTGTGTTCGGTTAATATGGTTAACCTGAATTAAAATTGTATAATTTTAGTTCTCTAAGTTCAGTTTTGAATTTGTGAAATCAACTTTGAAAGCAGGTATTTACGGAAAGGAAATTTAGTTTTTTGAATTGAATTTAGAATTGGTAGAAGACAAGTACCCGGGTTGACCAAAAATTCTTATCATACAATTTCCATAAATGAAACACTTCTTGTCATACAATTCTATACGTACAGAAAACTGTATGAAATTTCTATGACAAGCATTTTTCCATATATGAAAACACATGAAAAGTTTTTTCCATAAACCAAAAATTTGATTATTTTCTAAAAATTTTTTCTGAAAAATTTCGGGTTGATTCGTAACCAAATGCAAGTGACAAGACCTTGGTTTAGTCAAAGAACCACAGTTTGGACAGTCTTGCATTTACAATGCATAGAAAACGACCTGAATTGTTCAAGAGCTGTTTTCATAAATCATATAACGCAAGCCACAAACTTTTAAACTTAGGCAAATTTTTTCAAGGACAATTATTTTTTTTAAAAAAAATGAACTTTTTCATTATCAGAAAATGATCAAAGCATTGATAAAAAAGCCAGGGTTTTTGTAAAAAGTTATTAAGCAAAATGAAAAAAAATCCAACATTAGTGCAGTGGCGGATCTAGGATTTTCTCGAGGGGGAGGGGGGGCGGATTTTCAAAAAAATTTTTTTTTTAGGTCGACCAAATTAATTTTTCGAGCTCTCCCAAAGCACTGTTTTATTCCAACTTTGGCCAAATTTTGAGAGAACAGGCCAAAAAAGGCGTTTTTAGGCACTTGTTGGAAACTTTTGACCAAAAAATCGCGTAGAAAATTTTTGGAGGCCATCAACAAAATGGATATCTCAAATTAGTACAAAGGGGGGTCCTTTGGGTCGGCAGGGGTCAAATCCCTGAGGAAAGGCGTCCGCATCACCCCGCCCACCCCCCTAAATCCGCCCTGCATTAGTGTATCCAGGACTACGTTATGCGCGCTAAAAAACGCGATTTGCGATTTTTCGGTCGAAGTTTTCCAAAAAGTGCATAAACGCCTTTTGGCCTGTTTTTTTTCACAAATTTGACTGCGGCGTCAAATTAGAGCCTTTACAGTGAACTAAGAGATCAATTTGGTAGGCCTAAAAAAAGGTCGACAAAAGCTACGTTTTTTCTCGGTCGAACAGAGTCGAAATGTTTTTTCTCGGTCGAAAAAACTCCTCGGTCGAACTCATCGAATTGCTTTTCCTCGGCAGAACTCATTCGAACTGTTTTTTCTCGATCGAAATTCTTCTCGGTCGAAAAAAATCCTCGGTCGAAACGCTTTTCCTCGGTCGAACTTGGTCGAAATATTCTTCCTCGGTCGAAGATAGTCGAAACAAAGACAGCTTGGGTCAGGTCGGTCAAAAAATATCGAGCCTGGGTCGAGACAGACGAAACATACCATTTTTTGGTAGAGTCGGTCGAATTATAAAACCTCGACCCGGGATACAGAGCGTGAAGCGACAAATACAAATGAAACTCCGAAAAGGTCACAGAGCCCATGGTTCGACTTTCTTTGACCAACGCCTTTGTTCCGGAGTCTCAATTTTGGACGAAACCAAACCGAACACCGTTCGACCGTTTTGGATTTTTTGAGCATAGACACAAACTTCACTTCAGGAAAAACTGTAATTTTGAGGGATGTGTTTCCCAGACTGCCAGTGAAACGTTGCCTAAGGCAAAAATCAGTAGATGCTAATTTATTACGCTTGCAATTAGCAAGCGCTATCAAATCGGAATGTAGACGTTTTTCCGGGTTAACAACTAGTGTAACAAAATCAATTTATTCAATTGCTGATATGCAATTTTTTTTATTTTGGATTCGTAGTTTTTGGCCTAGTTTCCTTCGGCTAATTTTTCGTTTCTTATCAAGGTGATTTTTCTAACATGGTAATGTTTTTATCGGCCTGCTTTGTAATGCAGGGATTTTGTTTTGATTATAACCTTTTAGTATGATATAAGTTTCTGTAATTTGTCATTTTACTAAGTCTGATTTCGAATAATTTTGTTTTTTAGTTGCTAACTTTTTTTCGATTACACGGGCTCGGCTTAATTGTATCAGCTAAGTTATTTTTTTTTGCGTATTTTCGAAAGCTTAAAAACTCCTGTTGAACGAAATTAGGCAGAATGAAAAGGTATGGGATTGTTTTTTTTTCAGACAATTTCGAATTTTTTTCATGTTTGAAAAATTTTAAGCTCTGTAGAAAGCTATTCTTTCGATTTTCAAAAAAAGAGTATCAATGAAAAAAATCCTGTTTCTCTGTGTGCGTGCATAATCTTCTAATCTTCTAATCCTTTACTTTACTATATACAGCGTTCGAAAAAGACTGGGAGGATTATTGGGGCGATTCTTTGACCCAAATTCAGGGGCGGTCTAAGGTTTTCTCGAGGGGCGGATTTTCAAAAATTTTGTAAATTTTGGTCATCCTTTTCAATTTTTTAAATTCGACCACGTCGGTTTACGGAGCTCTCCACTAAACTACTAGAATGACCCTGTTTTTACATTTTTTTCTGGCAAGTTTTTGAAAAATTTTTCTGGCATTTTTTTTGTTTTAAAAAAAACTCTCTCAATTCTAAAAATTTGAAATTTTGGGTTTAATTGAGTGAATGGGTTGTGTAAATCACCCTTGAATAATTGATGCGCATAGTTTTGTTTCAGACACAAAAATTATGGCCCTCGAAAAATCTATAACTTGATTTTGTACCGTATTTTCAAACTATGAATTTTCGCAAAAATTACCCTACCGAATCTTGAGTTGTTGTGTTCAACCGAAACAGCAGGTTGTAAGAAAGTCTGCTGTACAAGCGAATTTTGCCAACAAATTTCAAACACAAAAGATATGGCCCTCGAAAAAGACAATACTTCTTTTTTGTACCGTTTTGTGAAACTATTTGACTTTTCTCAAAAACTAGCCAGCTAAATCTTAGGTTAAATGTTCAGTCAAAATCTGATTTTGAAAAGCTCTCTGCTTAAGCGGCCTTGTCCTGCTTTTGGTTGGACGCTTCTATTTTGTGGATTTGAACCCCTGCCGACCCAAAAGTCCCCCTGTGTACTAATTGATCTAGCCAAGTTTGGCTGACTGATTTTAAAACTTTTCTAAAGACGCTTTCGGCGCAAATGTACACTTATTTTGAGGGGAGCGCGCGCCAAAAAAACGCGATTTGCAATTTTTCGGTCGAAATTTTCCAAAAATTTTATAAAACGCCTTTTGGCCTGTTTTTTCAAAAATTTGCCTGCGGCGTCAACTTAGAGTCTTTAGAGTGAACTGAGAGAGTGAGAGATCAATTTGGTTAGACCTAAAAAAAGGTCGACAAAAGTTACGTTTTTCCTCGGTCGAACTGAGTCAAAATGTTTTTTTTTCTCGGTCGAAAAAACTCCTCGGTCGAACTCATCGAATTGCTTTTACTCGGTAGAACTCATTCGAACTGTTTTTTCTGGGTCGAAATTCTTCTCGGTCGAAAAAAATCCTCGGTCGAAACGCTTTTCCTCGGTCGAACTTGATCGAAATGTTCTTCCTCGGTCGAAGATAATCGAAACAAAGACAGCTTGTGTTAAGTCGGTCAAAAAAATACATTCTGGGTTGAGAAGGACGAAACATAACATTTTTTGGTCGGGTCCACCGAAACATAAAACCTCGACCCGGGATATAGAACGTGAAGCGACAAATACAAATGAAACTCCGAAAGGGTCACAGAGCCCATGGTTCGACTTTCTTTGACCAACGCCTTTGTTCCAGAGTCTCAATTTTGGACGAAACCAAACTGAACACCGTTCGACCGTTTTGGATTTTTTGAGCATACGCACAAACTTCACTTCAGGAAAAACTGTAATTTTGAGGGATGTGTTTCCCAGACTGCCAGTGAAAAGTTGCCTAAGGCAAAAATCAGTGGATGCTAATTTATTCACTTGCAATTAGCAAGCGCTATCAAATCGGAATGCAGACGTTTTTCCGGGTTAACAACTAGTGTAACAAAATCAATTAATTCAATTGCTGATATGCAATTTTTTTATTTTGGATTCGTAGTTTTTGGCCTAGTTTCCTTCGGCTAATTTTTCG